TGAAGGCAGTGGGGGGGGGGGAGGAGGGGGGGGGGGGGGGGGGGGGGGGGGGGGGGATCTTCTCTCATAATCTTGAAGGGACCCTGCGTGGTATGGTAAGTAAATCCGCACAGAAACTGGACGAAATTCTGAATCAAATGCTGTTTCAACTTGAAAGATCTTTCAAACAAAAATGAACAGAATTCAAAATGAAGATCCTAAAAGATTTTTTGTTGTGAGTTTCTCAGAAATCGTTGATCTTTTCTTTTCGCTCTAGATTTTAGAAATATTCAAAAGCAGTGCATAAGTACACGCCATATAAAACCATATATATATTATCGATTACAATCCGGAGATTTTATCAACAAGTCTTGCGCATCTCAATAATGGGTACAATATTCTCTGATGGTGTTCATGTCTCCGAAAACTTTATCACGAATTTACGTACTGGATTGAACGGCTTGACAATATTTTGTTGTGTAGTTGTTGTTATCCTTCACATCTATTCATACAAAAATCCTATCGATTCCTTCAAAAAAATTTTTAACAAAATATTTGTTCCTACTGCTGTGCGAGAGGTTCTGGTCTGTCAAATGGGAAAGATTGAAAACCAAGCCCAGTTATCGTCGACACTTACTCAATTGTATCAAGTTAATGATCAGCTCACTCATATCAAACCTGCACGATATTTCTATTTACTTATTTTTCCCATGCAACTATACATTATGTTTCTCATTTTCGAAAGTAAAATCATAACGGAGCAAGAAACGCCCATTGGTACGATCAACTCGACAGTTTCTCTTACAGACCAAAGAAAATATTATCGCTGTTTCAATAATACTGCCATGTGTACTTCATACATATTTAAAACAGAAAACGTGATAGATACAGTAACAAATCTAATCGCTTGGTGGCAGGGACTCTGTGCTGTAATAAACAAAATGATCTCATTATCTCACAATAATGTAATGAAAAAATATTACTCAAACAAAAGTATACCGTCGCAGAACAGGATTCATTTCTATCGGTTTATGGCTTGGTTTGCTTTATTCCTATTTATTGTTTACATAGCAACCGACATTGGAACGGATATTGGTTCCACCTGGTTTCCCTTGGTTTTATCGCTTATACTTCTATGTGTTGCCGGATTGAGTGCTGGAGCTGAACATCATCAAAATAAGGCAGAAAATAATGATTTTGAAATGAAAAATACGGCAGCTTATTTAAAACAATTAAATGAAGCTCAACCTGTTCTAATTGTTAAAGAAAAACTTCAAGAAACTTCCGATCATTCTAAATCGACAGGGATTCATCAGAGACAATCATCTAAAGTAGCACCAGTAATCAGTGAAAGTTTGAAAACCTAGCAGACAACTACTCAAAAGAAGAAAAATAATTTAAAAAAAACTGTTTGAATGCCTTAGAAATTAGAAACTTTGAGCGTTTTGTGACTATCAGTCAGGAACCCTGACTAACGTCCAAAGACGCCAAAAATAAAAACACATGAAAAAGAGTAATACGGCTTGTCCAAGCGTAACGGTGTGACATTTTGACACACGATTTCCCCAATATCTCAAAAACTATAAACGCTAGAGAGCTCGTTCAAACGTCATTCGATGTAGCTTGGCATACTCTATGTTCACTATAAAAATGAATGATTTCCATCAATCACTCGATTTTCCAGGAAGATTCTTAGGTCGCGTAACGGTGTGACACACAAGGACCCTCAACCTCGAGCT